AACCCCCCTAATCTCTTAGGTGAAGTTCAATTTCATGTTGCATTAAGACTTGGAACCTTAGAATTGCAGAATTAGGTCTCCTTATCCCTAAGAAATCCCCAATTATGATTGCTAACTCAGATCAGAGAAGCAAATCCAACTTCCATTGGTAAATGTTCCTATTTGATTAACTATACGAATTTCCATTCACAGATTGCAATAACAACAGAATTAACAATTCAATTAATCCAAGAACTCAAATTTCAGAAGCAAAAGTCGAATTAATACATCAATTCAAGTTCCATAAACTCCTAACTATGGAGAATTAAGCAAACATTGTAACAGAGAAAGAGAAAGAAGGAGAAGAAGAAAAGAATTACAGAGAAGTCATCTCCACGAGCTCCAATCCAATGCCTCTTCTTGAAGCTTCGAAATTCGACCCCAATCCTCTCTCTCACTCTCTCTCAACGAGAATCTAACAGAAAAAATAGAAAATGAACCAAAGACCCTGAGTTCTGAGCTTAAACCATGTATTTATAGAAATCCCAATTTTGTGCGTTATCACTCTTGCTGAGAAGAGTGGCTACGCAGAAGCTCATGTGGTTTCTGGAAACTGAAACTATCACTTTCGCTGCTAAGAGTTGCAATGCAAGAGGTCGAGTGGTTGCGCGTGATCACTTTCAATAGCAAGAGTGATCACGCATAGCTTGCCTTGATTCACTCCTTTATGGAACATCCACTTTCGCTGGCAAGAGTGCTAACGCAGAGCTCGCTGAAATTTTGACTTCTCTAGAACACTCACTTTTGCCAGCAAGAGTGTTAACGCAGAGCTTGTTTTTCTAAGTAACTTTCTAGAACACTCATTTTTGCTGGTAAGAGTGACCACGCCTAGACTCCCTTCTTCTTTTAAACTCTGGAACGATCACTTTCATTGGTAGAAGTGTTAACGCCCAGGGTATATTCCTTTTTGATGTCTGAAGTGATCATTTTCACTGACAATAGTGATCACGCCCGGCTTGCATTACATAATTCTTGTGCTTTGAGTCCAGAATTGCTATTCTTCCTCTTTCTTTCCATTTATCTTTCATTTCCATGACTTTTGCTCAGATTATTTCTACAAAAATAAGATTAATTTCTTAAGATCTAAGCAAAAATTCCACAAATGCTAAAATAACTACGTATTAAAAGAAAACTTTCAATCATTCTATTTTTCTGAATATTTCTGCTTTTATTATATATTTTCCTTATCGAATTGGTTAGAAATACACTGAAATATTAGTAAAAATATGGATTCATCACCCTACACCCAGAACTCAAAATCTCTCTTCCGAGTAAGATAATATCAACTCTTAACCATACTTTCTAGGTTATTCTACACACAATACACTTAACAATCAATCTATAACCCGCTCTGCACATCACACTCAACAACATCATAACATAGCATTTTAGAATATGTTGCTCCTTATCTAGCAATTACACAACCTTCACATTTATATTCTAATATATAAACAATTCATATAGTTCAAGTCTACATAATCCCATTTAATAGGAATAATAAATACATATATAATTACACTAATCTAACAGTATCTACGAAGGGATGGCGAAGATTACCCTTGGTGCTGTCTCCAAAAGCGGCTGTGAGCCCCAACGTACTGCAAATATACCCATAGAGCTTACCTTCCCTATACTCCTTTATGCTACATATTTACCTTTTCCTCTTATATCGATTGAGGTTGTAGCTGCCCCTATAAACATTGACACCATAGCCCTTGACCTTACCCCAGACAGGACCCACAATGTTCATTCTCCTCAACCTTTTTGACCCTTTCCTATGCTCAAGTGGGTAGTCATACATGTGGTGAAGTCTTCCGTTCAACGTAGCCCTCCTCTCCAGCCACCTAGACCCACACCACCTATTAATGAGGAAGGACTTTCTCAACATCACCCTTCACCACCTTCACCTTTTTCACTCTCTCATTCACTACCACCCACTACTAGTTGGATTGAGGATTTGCCCAACTTGCCTACTGAGTTTGTCCAGTTCTCACCCACTTTGTTTGACTTTGATCCCTTAAAAGAGTATACTCCACTTGACTGACCATTATCTGCTTCTATTGTTGTTTGCTTTGGATTGAAGAACTAATCTAGGGGCTGTTTTGGGAAACTAGTGGTGTATTTTGGTTATATTTTGGTTGTATGTTGATGTACTTTAAGATGTATTTGTTATTTTGTACATTGACCTAACTACTTTCCCTGTGCTACTTGCAAATTTAAATTTGGTAAATTTACACAAAATTTCCTTTGGTGATATTCGGTTGTTTATGTCTTATGATGATGATGATGATGTGCTTTCTCTTATGGTTCTATGAGGCATACATAATGTATATGATTGTTGTGCATGTGAAACTATTTAAAATTTATGACTAGGACTTATATAGATGCCAAGATGCAAAAAGAAATAATGAAATGAGTTGTTTACACTTTGATGTATGACAATGATTATTATGTTTAAAATATTTGTATGTTATACATGTTAACTTTCTTATATCCAAAAGATGTGTTGTATGATTCTGTGTGTTCCTAGGTGTATTTTGGATTCATGATTTAAGCGTCACAATTTGCACAATTAATTTTAAAGTAGCTGTTATTTAAATAAATATTGTAAGGTTCTAATACTTTCTTTACAAGTAAATTATTCTCAAACTTGCTTGTGATTTTAATGATCATATTATTTTAAAGTTTTATTTAATAAAATTTGGTGACAACTACTCTAATTTTTAAGAAACATTTTATTTCTAATAGATGTTCTTTCTAAGACATGCTTACTGTCACATAACGACAAAGATATAAATTGTGTTGCATAAAATAATTTGAAATTTTTGTATTGCATGTATTTGAGTAGTGATTTTTAAAAACATTATATAATTTTAATTAGATAATTTTTATGTCATATAAAAAATTTAAATTACTTATTTTTAGAATTTTAAAAATATTTTTATTATGCTCAACTTTTTATATTTATCATTCATAATTATTAATACAATTAATTCTCACTTTAAATATTTTTCATTATTAATTTCATATTTTTTTTAGAATTTTAAAATTTGCCATCTAACACATATGAAAAGTCTATGTCAATATACTTAATGGTGTATTTTACTTAGTATATACTAATGAATTATGAAGTTAGGTTCAATTTAAGAGAAAAAAAGATAAAATAAATATTTTATTATTTATTATAAATTTTGATTTTATACTTAATTTTTTTAGTTATTAAGTATTCTATTCATTTTTTTTACACATGTAAACTCTTTTCTTTTTCACCTCTTCTACTTTTTTCTTTTTTTTATTATCCTTTTTCTTCTTCCATTATATATAAAGTAGTTAACAACCCAAAATCTTAAATCCAAACATAGAAACTCATAGAATTATTAATTGAAGCGCAACAATATCAATATGTTTAACGTAAGATTTGTAATTACGCAATTCAAATGTAAATATAAATTCAACTACGCATATTATTTTATATCTTTAAAAAAAATCAATTTAAAATTACTTTTAAAAGTTAGAAGATTAAAAAAAATTAAAAATAAACTTACTTTAAAGTAAAAAATAAAAACATTAATTTTATTTAAAAAAACTCGATGATTTGGGACTATCTATTATTACAAAACAAATACATGTAATGATATGAGACTAGAAAAAAATAAATAAAAAAAACATCTACTTTTGGTTCTAATATTCCTTTTTTATTTTATTTTATTTTTTGAGACTATGTTAAAATAATCGAGATATTGTGGAATTAAGAAAATTTGAAAAGCAAGCAATTATATCTTTTACTACTTTGTTCTGACTTTTTTTTTTTATTTGCTAGCATTAATGACTATGTTGTTTAACAAGCATCTTAGTTTACTTTGTATGAGTAATATATTCAAATTTTTGGTTAATTGCACGTGATCTCCTCAAAGATGAAAAAAAAAAAAAAAATACTCCCACACATTTATAAATGAAATGCATTCACTAGATGATTAGCAATATTACTTACTATATTATTAACATTTATTCTTAAAAAAATGTTAGAATCTTTTGTTATTTTAATAATACATTTCTCTATTTTAAAAAAAAATATCATATTAATAAAAAAATATTTATATCAAGTAACGTTTTGATGTTTTAATGAAGCATTATTTTATTCTAATTTTGTCTTAAATAAAGAATGTATATAACATTTTTTAATATTATATCTGCCAATTTTTTTAAACAAATGAAAATTATAAATGTTAAAAATAAGTTAATAAAATTATTTTATTAATTGATATATTCATTAATATTTTTAAATTTTGTAAACAAAAACTTAAACATATTATTTAAAATTTATTTTATGTATAAAATTTTATACATAAATTTAAAAAGTTGATATTTAAAATATAACAAAAAATTAATTTTTATTATATCTTTTATCTATAATGTTAATTAATATCTTACTTATTTATCTTTTGTTTAAACTATAAATAAATAAAAATATTACATGAATATAATTTTCTTTCCAAATATTTAATGCAACTTTGTGCATTTAAATTTAAATTCAAAATCATAAGTTAAATTAAAATAACCTCAATCCATATCTTCTTAATGGTTGATCCCTGGTTATATATCTCATTTATTTATTATATTCCGTTAATATATTTTACCTATTAAAAATAAAATTATAAAAAATATTATTTGTTAATTTTTGAAAATAATAAATAAATTAAAATTTTAAGTTATTATGAAAAGAAAAATAATAATTATTATTATTATTATAAAAGCGAAAGAGTAATAAGTTAATAACTCAGCAGTTAATCAGAATTAGAGTACACGGCATAGAGTTTCTTAATTGTAAAAACTAAAAACTGAAAAAAAGAGGAAAAAGTTAAAATTAAGGAAAAGCCAAGCTTGTAATATTAGTGTTATGCCTATGTCCTTATTGTTATTAGTTGTATTAGATTAGACATATTTTGTTTGCTGCTTCCAATGATTGCCGAGACCCGAAGAAGAATCGTTGATTCAATTCCAACGCCACACCACACTCTCCCATGATTTTCACGCGCTTCCGGCGTGTTTAGTTGCCGTAGCTCGGTCGCACTACCACGCTCACATCCTTCCTCCTATTTCAATCTTCCAAATTTTAAAACGACACATGGAACGGTCGAATGCAAATGACGATAGGTTTTCGAATCCAAACACGAACGCTACAACCACCTCAAGCTTCACCTTCAGTACCCCTTCCGTTTCGGGCCTGTCCAGGCCCAGATTCGTGAAGGTTCGCAAGCACAACAACGCACCCGCTTTCAATCCCTTTCGCAACGGTGTTGCCAATGCCCCATTCAACAACAACAATGATTCTGCTTCTTCGTATTTCGATAAGGGAATCGGCGATCGATTCAGGAATCTCCAAATTGGGAATGCAAATGAGGGTTTCGACGAACACCTCGGTGAGTTTGCATTTTCATCTGCTTCTTCTCGTGTTAACGAAAGAGGTTTTGATGTCTCTGTTGAATCGGAACTCCAGAATGAGTTGAAGAACAAATTGAATATTAAAGAAAGAGGAGACGGCAATGCAGTTGCTGAGAACTCAGCGAATGAAGTTATATACCAAATGAAGAACCTCAACGTGAATGACTCTATTGGTGGTAATGTTCCAATGAGCCAAGTTGATCATCGTGAAAAGGAAACAGAAGGAATTTTGTTAAGGAAATTGGATGAGTTAAACCTAGATAATGAGAAGAAGCAGGACTCTGTTGAACCAAATTTGTGCAATCCTTTTGTGGAGTGTATCCAAAGATATTCAAGTGGTGGTGCTCATGTTGATTCGGAGAAACGTGACAAAGACGGTGGAATGTCACGAACTGCTGCATCAGCATCATCCTCTATGTTGTTTTCTGGTGATTGTGTGAGTTTTCAACCTGTTGGTGTTACCAAGAGGGATGAATTTGTGTTTACTGGTAAACAAGATACTTCAGGATCATCTTTTGTTGAGTTTAAAACGCCTGCACCAAAAGTTGGCAAAGAAGGAAAACTGAAGGAAAAAAATAGCAAACTGAGAATGAGTAAAAGTAGAGAAAAACTGAAGCATTATACCTCGGCCCAGCCATGGCCTGGACAAGGTTTTGTTCATAAGGGAAGTGTTTCCCAAGAAGAATTGCAGGGTTCTTCAGAGACTTGTTCGCCAATGGATGTGTCTCCATACCAAGAAAAACTGGCTCAAAATGAAATCTCTAGGGAAAATTCTTTGACATCCAATGAGTCATTTAGTGTTGATAACAACTCTGTTGCTAATGATTCAATACCAACCACTTCTATTGATCCCATTGATGAAGATCTAATTGTGGCCACTCAGAGCTTGACTATAAATGGGGTAGATGTTGTGTGTGGAGAAACAAAGGAGGAAAGTTCAGAGTATTGTAAACATGAAAATAGTGGTGTTGAAGACCCAAAGGATGATTCAATTTCTGGGGTTGAAACTGAAAGCTTTAAGTCTGCCAATGATGAAGTGGACATAACTAGTGATGTGGCTTATATATTGGCAGAAACTGAAGCCCGTGATAGTGATAGAACTTTACATCTTGGTAGTTCTTTGAGTGCAAAAAATGTAAGTGGGTCTGCCTTCACATTTGCTGCTGCGTCTTCGGCTGAAGCTCAATCATCCAGCCCAAAACGTCATCACAAAAAGAAAAACTGGGTAAATGTTGGTCATGATTCTTACTACACACCAAACATAAAGGTTCCATATTCATCGTCATCTGTGGCATTTTCTCCATTTTCTGGAACTTCATCTCTTTTCATATCTGGACAAAGCCTAAAAGCCAAGGTATCTTCTCCTCAACCCAAAACAAGGGATTCCAATGTGAAGGAAGAGCAGGGGATAAAGGGGTCTTCTGCTTCTATTTCTGCTGCAATAATTGCTGCTCAGGAAGACTGTGAAAAGTGGAGGCTCCGGTGAGTATATATTTTGACAGTTCTATTTCTCTGTTTTCAGTCAATTGCACGCCGTGTGCTTATTTTTTTTATTCTTCATTACAAGGCCAGGCTTCTTACAATTACTGTGACTTTTATATTGAAATAGAGTACAATTTGCAAATGTTTATTTTAAACACACAAATGAATCGGCACAATGAAATGGAGTAACTTTGAATTAGTTCCTTTGATTTTGGCTAATACTTCACCAACATTGTAACCATTATTCACAATACTGAATATGCTCTATATCAGAGGAAACCAAGCCTATAAAAATGGGGATTTGTCTATGGCTGAGAGTTGTTACAAACAAGGACTTGATTGTGTGTCTAAAGAAGAAGCATCTCGGAGCTGTCTCAGGGCTTTGCTGCTATGTTATAGCAACCTTGCCGCTACACACATGTCTCTTGGTAGGATGAGAGATGCACTAGAAGATTGTATGAAGGCTGCTGAAATAGATCAAAATTTCCTCAAGGTGCAACTGAGAGCTGCAAAGTAAGTTCCCATTTTTTTTTTTTCAAAATCATTTTGTACACAATGATTTAAGTTGTATGAATTTTAAGTTTAATGTAGCATGACAGAAACCTTAGGATATAAAGGCAGGGGGATTAATTATGCAATGGATCTAAGTAGACCCTTATCCCTATGAAAGTATGAATATATTAGTGTCTAGCACCTAATGGTTGTTATTTAAAATTTGGAAATAACATTATATTTATAATATGGAAATATTTCTGTGTCTAGCAGCATGCGTGCTCATACCACGTGTATAGTTTCAAGATAGATAATTGTGTCCTTTAAGTCATTTTGTTTTCATTCTTGTTTAAGTTGTTACCTTGCTCTGGGGGAAGTTGAAGGTGCATCACAATATTTTAAAAGGTGCTTGCAATCAGGAACTGATGTTTGTGTGGATCGAAAAATTGCTGTGGAAGCCTCTGATGGCTTACAAAAGGCACAGGTTTGATATATTTATAATATATTTTTAATAGATAACTTGATATGTTGTAGATTCTTTGGTTATTAGCTTTTCCTTTGGTTAAATATTTTTAAGTAGCTACAGGCTGCCTGTACAATGAATTAAAATTGGAAACATCATAAACTAAAGTGATTTGATATTGTATTATATCACTGTGACAGGAAAACTTTCTAGGGTTTAAAGTGCATTTAATAATTTTTCAGAAGTTGCTCATTGGTATTTATTTCAATAATGGATTTTGGGCTTGCTGGAGAGATAACTGCTTGGGATACTTTGAAGTTTCGTGCCCTTATATATCAAAACATGTATCTGATAAATGTTTTTATGATTAGAAATATTTTTGTAATGGAGGATTTAAATATTTCTCAAAAAATGGAAATGTGCAGATATTGACAGATAAATAGAAGTTGTTTCTACTGCTCTATGGATTGCTAATTTTGCACTTCCTTCTTTATTCACCTTAGCAAGATCCCAATGTTTTTTAATTTATAATTTTTTTGAGCGAGTATGGTGTGAAGTTCTGTCCACTACTTCCTGAACTGATTAGTGTTTTTAAGGGATGACAGAAAGTATCAGATTTCATCAATCATGCTGCTCAGCTTTTGCAAAGAAGAACATCCTCTGATGCAGAGCGAGCATTAGAACATATTAATGAGGCATTGATAATAAGTTCATACTCTGAAAAATTGCTTGAAATGAAGGCAGAGGCTTTTCTAATGGTTAGTGCCTCTTTCACTAAAACTTTGGTAATGTGAATATTTGGCATAAGTCTCTGTGCAATAATCTATACCAGTTGTGTCTCTGTTGGATAACTTTTGCTACAAATATCAGCTTTGTAGATATGAGGAGGTGATTCAGCTGTGTGACAAGACCCTTGGTTCTGCTGAGAAGAATGCTTGTCTTTTGGATACTGGTTGCCAAGTCACAGATCTGGATAATTCACAACTCTCAAAAGGGTTCTACTTCAGAATATGGCGATGCTCAATGATGCTTAAAGCTTACTTTCACCTAGGAAAGCTTGAAGAAGGTCTTTCTTTGCTGGAGCAACAAGAGGAGAAGATGTCTGACATAAACAAGTAAGCATTACTAACCTCTGACCCATTCACCCTCCTCTGCCCCTCCTCAAGTGTAAACAGAAAAAGGAAAGAAAACTGAATGTTTGATTGCTGTAGTGATCCTTTTTATCACCAGCTTAGATATTGTCCTGCAGGAGTGCAAGCAAGGTTTTGGATTCACTCATACCACTAGCTTCCACTGTACGCGAGCTCTTGCGTCACAAGGTTAGCTTTTGCTGTATTTCATGATATGGTTATATTATTTACATTATTATTTTCTGTTAAATACCTAGATGCCTAGAACATTTCCATTGTTCAAAGTAACTCTCTACTTTTATATTGTTTGTCTTGGGAGCTAATTGTTATTTTAGCTATTGTACTTGAGTAAATTATTTTGTTTCTAATATACAGTTTTCAGGCAATATTGAGTTTTCAACTGACTTTAAAATTAACTTTTGTAAAAAGATGCTTTAGCAGGGTAGATCTTTTCATCTGCAATCTATTTGTTTCTACTGGTTCCAATTGCTGTGCTCTAGGTGACAATCATTCTGGATATACTCATGTTTGAATTTGTAGAAAGAAATAAAAGGGGCCAAAAATTGCTCTACATTATAGAATGGGATTTATCAAGACACTAGATTTGTTTTAGGGTGTGTTTGGATAAGCTCTGAGAAAAAAAATGCCTTTATCATATCACAATATTTTATAACTTTTTTTAGGATGATTCTTTAAGCTTTTGATAAAAGCACTAAAGCTGCTTTATTTGAGGCTTTTGCTTTTCCCTTTTTTCTTTTTTTTCTTTTTCTTCCCTTAGGCTCCCTGTTTGCATGTTTATGTTAATAAACTGCAGACTGGATTAACACAACTATAGTGCATTGTGCAAGCCCATCTCAATTCTCAAACCCTATTACACATAATAACATGCCCTAGTTTCCTTTAATTTGATGGTTTATCCTCTTCCTTTGTGTTTCTATACATTTCTCTAATACAATTTCTCCACCATCAAGAGATTCAAGAAAACAATTTAATGCCACATTGATGTTGTATTCTTAAAAATTGTACTTTGTTTAATTCATTCTGTTCTCCTGTAACACAAATTGCTTCTGATTAATATTGATGTAAATCTATTCAAATGTAGACTGCAGGGAATGCAGCATTTCAGGCTGGAAGGCACACGGAAGCTGTCGAACACTATACATCTGCTTTATCATGCAATGTGGAGTCTCGTCCATTTGCAGCTGTCTGTTATTGTAATCGTGCCACTGCATATAAAGCTTTAGGTCAAATAACAGATGCTATTGCAGACTGCAGTCTGGCTATAGCTCTTGATGGAAATTATTTGAAGGTTTCTTCTCTCTTCAATTGTGACTTAATTTTTTATTCTTGGAGATGTTATGACTGGATCAGATGGGGTTAACCTGACATAGGATAAAAACACATAGGATTAAATTATGGTAAATTCTAAGGTGCTCTGAAAAATGAGGGAGTATTCTATGCTCCTATATACATGGAACAATCATAACCGTTGATTTTAGTGATAAAATTGGTGGTGTATTTGGAAAAGACGTAAATATCCTTTAATATCTTAGTATAATCTAGGAGTATTTAATACACCCTTAGTTTAGGAGCATCGCAGCAAGCACCTTAAATTATAGCGCATGAGAAATAGAGAGAGAATGGGTCAACTAGTGAAAAGATCTGGTACTCAACCAGTACAGAGATTTATTCTCCTTGGGAACCAGAAGAAAGTTTTGTTATCAAAATTCAGGAAACATCTAAGGTATCCTTGCTACAGGCATTCCCCTATTTATAGCATAAAAATCCTAACTGAACAAATCCTAATGCTATCCATGAAGATTAGGCAGTTAAAAACTATAGCTTTTAACTTGTTTATTGTTTTCTATTCTTTCCATCCAAACATGAACACTAGCCAAGCTATTTTAAGTGGCTCACCAATAATGATAATTTTGAATGTTCAACTCACGGAAGGGAAAATGGAACAATTTAATTGTTGCATTGCAAATTTCTATCTTTAGAGCTCTTGTATGTTGTATGTGTTGTAGTTGTATTAGATTCCCTGAATGGGTTTCCTATGATGTTTAGTTCTTTAGAGAGAGTGATAGTCTTAGTATGTGTTATGTGCTGTTATAGAATATAATGTGTTGATTGTTTGCATTTTCAAATATATCTGCTATTGCATGCTATTCAAAGAATTGCCTTATATATGATTTCAGTTATATATGACAGTATGAGAAAAACGTTTTCATATGCTTGCAGGCACTTTCTAGACGTGCAACTCTGTATGAGATGATCAGAGATTATGCCCAAGCAGCCACTGATCTTAGGAGACTTGTCTCTCTTCTCAGTAAGCGGGTGGAGGACAATGCCAATCAGCTTGGAATATCTGAGAGAGCAATTAATTATACTAATGATTTGAAACAAAATCATGTTTGGCTTTCTGAAATAGAGGAGGAAGCCAGAAAGGAGATCCCTCTTGATGTGTACCTCATTTTGTAAGCTCTTTACTAATAACCAGAAGTTCTTTATCTTATCATCTGTAACAGATCAATTAACCCCATTTTTCTAGAAGTCAAAATCACCTTCCTGAAAGGCACCATTTATGAGGATAAACTGGGAAAAGTTTGGACATATAAGAAAGATTTTAGAATCTTCCTTTGTCAAAAGAAAGATCCAATTTTCAAAATCCAGGGTCAGAAATAAAATTCATGTTAGGATCTGCAATTAAACCTGGATACATAACCGTAATATTTCCTGACAAAACACAGGCTTATATAGCAGGAATGGATTTATAACTATTCAAAGAATGCAATTAGGTATTAATTCTTTAAAAATGTGCCCAGATCCCAAAATATTTGCTATGCAAGAAAGAGGCTCAAAATTTGGTTATATGTCATCTTTGTGTTGGTTTTTGTGTATTGATTCTCTAAGTTTGAGCTTAGGCCTAACTCAACTTCAAGGTTGCACTTAGACACTATCTGTTGCTAATTTAGGGAAATATTATCATTCATTTAAGGCTATCCGCTGATTGACAATATGATGGCAGGGGAGTTGAACCATCTGTTTCAACATCTGAAATCAAGAAGGCCTATCGGAGAGCTGCACTTAGACACCATCCAGACAAGGTTGTTTGATCGGGCAGTTGGTTTGATGATCATATGTTAATCACTCAGTTAATGTTTTATTTTATTCTGTAGGTTGCCCAGTCTTTGACTAGAAGTGACAATGGAGATGATCAGATATGGAAGGTTATTGCTGAAGAACTACACAGAGATGCTGACAAGCTTTTCAAAATAATTTTAGAGGCATATGCTGTGCTCTCAGACCCTGCCAAGGTATTTGTATATTTTCAACTAATAAATGTTGCTGAGATGCTTGCTCTATATGATTTTACTAGAAGGTTAGTTTTTATGGAGCCCAATAGTGTCAATTAATCCATGTAATCAGTACCACCTGGGAAGGATTTGTGGTTGTTGACACATTATATGAGAAGTTCCTCGGTCTTAAAATAAGGCAAGCAATAGCTACCAAATGACCTATCAGTACCTTATACCTAGGATATAGGCATTAGAAAAGTTTCTTACCTAGATTGGAACTTGGAAACCAAACTTTTATTGGTGCTCTAAACGTTTTCAGTGAGGAAGGGAAACTTTATTTGTTTGTGTTTACTTCCTTGGTCATTAACACCAAATTCTTTAACATGATATTGGATGAAAAGCTGAAAATAGAAGGCAGTTGGACATCTTTTATTACTGTGAATGGTGTAATATACAAGACCTGTGAAGTTGTCCTGTGTATCAATAACGCATGGCAATTCAATTATGAGAAAATCCTACATATGCCTTGAATAATAATAATAATTTTAAAAAGGCTGCTTTGCTTTGCCATTCACAAAAGGATCAGTATCTAAAACTGAGCTTTAAAGTGCTTGTAGGTTTTACTACTCCTTGCAGTGTTTGTATATGTTTTCGCACCACGAATGAGAAAAATCAGTGTTAGTATGAATAATAAATTTAAGCTTAAAGCACAATATGATTTTCCCCCACGCATTCATTTGGTCATTATTCCTTCTTTTTTTGTAGCGTGCACGTTATGATGCAGAAGAAGAAATGAGGAATTCCCAAAAGAGACGCCATGGACCTATAGCTAGAAATAATGCGGATAGCCAGTATCCATTTGAACAAAGCAACAGGAGACAGTGGAGAGAGGTTCGGAGAACATATGGTCATCCATCTTCTCGAGGTTCTGAACCAGGTCGATCAAGTTGGAAATAAGAAAATGCGTATGGAATGATAATCCGGTGAGGATTCGGATTGCAGTTTGACTCTTCGAATGTGTGGGCTAGTTAGTAGTGCCTTTGACCTTTGAAGTTATCATTTGGCCTGCTGAATTTTGACGTTGTGGTAAATTCGGCACTGCATTGATTCAGCCGGAATGCAGCAACTTCAGTCCTTTGAGTTAGAAGAGCTCCTGCACTTACATAATTCTGCGGTTGATGACAGAAGTTGGAGAAGCTAGGCTGTTCAATACTTCTGGTTGCTTTGGGAGGTAGAATTTTTCTCTGGGCAAGAGAAAGACGACGTGATTGCGCACGCTTTTTATCTTTTTCACCGCTGACCCCGATTTTGAACAACGAGTTTGTGTTTTAGCTTGGCTGATAAACCAAGCACTAGGGAAAAAAAAGCTTGGAAATTTTGCATTATGGATAAGAGGTCTGTTTTTTTTTTCCCCTTTCAGATTTGTAAATTTTATAGACACTTATAAAAAAAAGTTGATATTGAGATGTACAGACGAAATTATATTGTTATAGCATGACCATGATTGTAATACCCAAAACAAAAGTTACAGTTGGGCTTACGTGAATACGTTTTCTCCCGTGTCCATATGAAGTGATCCTAAAATCAATTTCAAAAAGTTAACCAAAACAAAGATATACCTATTCCACTTGTCAGTCAAGCAATCCAACCTTTGTAATGAAAAGAAAAGGCAAAAACAGAGTGGGAAAGGTTGGAACTAACAGTATGTGCGGAGCTTCAATTACACGTAAAGTAAATATATTCAATTAATTACGCATGTTCCAAACAATTTGGCTCATTTAAAATAAGAAATTATAACTCTTAATTAAAAAAGGTGTTTTACTTTATAAAATACATTCTTCTCTTGAGAGGAACCAAATTCATTTCATGAATAAAGTAAGCGTATATATTGTAATTTGTTAATTTAATAATTTTCAAAGTTAACCTCTCCCATCACCTACCCCCCCCCCCCCCCCCCCCCCCACAACACGAGAAACCCTTTCAAGATCCCAGTTACAAATAACAAATTGCTTGGATCTCTTTGCAGGAGAAGGCTATGGACTATGGCTCCATTTTCATTTAGCGAATCCAAATAGGTAGGGCATAAGTGTGCCTTGCTGTTTAGGACATTTCTCCAGAATTATACCTTACGGCCTTGCAGTACAATAAAAAGAATTTTACTGAATTTCACTTTTGCTTTGGCATGGGAAAACTCATATGTATATTCCAAATCCAATCTCCTTTGGATCTGTTTCAATCATCCATGCTGACCTGTTTATTTTTTAAAAAGAAAGAAAATAAGACCAAGAAAATAGCACACTTAAACATTTTCGAAATAATTCTCCAATTTATGAATGAATAAATACAGAACGCCAGCTCCAAGAGTTTACTTGTTCATTACGAAGTTAAACGTTCCCTGGCTAGCACGCTTGAGAAGAACTTCTCTTGCTTCAATTGGAAGTCCTTCAGGCTGCATGAAGAACTCGATTAAATAAATAGTTATATAGCAAAAAAGCAAAACTTGTTGGCGGAAGTGTTTATGTAGCACTTTTAAATGTCTCCAAATAGAAAAAATAAATGAAAATTATATATGCACACACCTCTTCAGGAAACCAAACCCCAGGCTGCGTGCTTCCTTCAAGAACTGCAAGTGCAAATGCAGCTGTTGCTATTCCAACAGATCTGAGAAACGTGGACATTGCATTCGTCATTACTAACAAAGAACACTGTATTCCGGATTTATCAAATCTATCAAAAGCACGCACAATTTGTAGCAAAAATGCTAAATTGTGTATGGGAAAATGAACTAGGAGAAAGCTTTAAAAGACTGTTTTTTTCATTTTACATTAATAAAATAAGCACAAGTAGGACGAGTAATGCATGTCTAGATTAGTTTATTTTTTTGAAAAAATTAATTAAGAGCTTATTGCTTAGTTTTGAAAAATAATAATTTCAATACTTACCAAACATGCTGAATGAAGAGTTCATGTTACAAATTTGTAATTCAAAATAAAACTATAACATAAAAAGTGCCGACTAGATTTTCAAGCTATAAATTAAAGAAAACAAAGCTCGTCATATTAGTGACTTAAGGAGTTTACCAGGATAACTTAAACTGTAATTACCAAGAAATTAAAAAAGAAAACTATATAATCCCTTTTAATAATGTTATAGGAACAATTAATGATTTGGTATTATATATTTCACCTATACAAAGAACAATTATAATGAAAAAAGAAATTGTTTTGATAATTTAGGCATGTGCCAAAAGCTAGCTTAATGCAGGCATAATCAAAACTTGCACCCAAAATTTCACCCAAAAATGAAAAGGAAAAAGCAGCTTACACCGAAAGTCTCCTATGACTGAATATACCAACAGTGTTGCGTCCACTTGCACACTCCAAATCAACCTACCCAATAGAAAGGAGATGGACCCAAAAAAAATTTCTTGAGTAACATTAAAAATATGGTTAAACGAGAATTAATTTAATCCTTTTCATTCGCCTCACCCTCATTGATACACGTTCTCCAGCAATCCCATCCATTACTCGAACAAAAGGATCAAAAATCTCAACCAACTTTCGGACTTTATTTCTGTCTCTTAGAAATTCCTGCAAGTTTTAATCAAATGTCATCCAGGTTGTCTACACTATCATTGCTATCAACGTAGTATAATCAAAATAACAAATATGAACAAAATTGTTCTTAAGATTTCACTGCCAAAGAATTCAGATAGCGCACACCAAAATTTGAAAATAAAATCATTGAAAAACAAGAATAAAATTTACATTAGAATATTATTCATTTGTATTTATAAAACCTAAGTATTAGAAAAATTCATAACATAGTAAGAAACTTATATTTGCAAAGAACAGTGTTACGGTCCAAAATAGTCAGAAAGGCATTACGGTCCAGCAACCATATGAGGCCCACCATTTGGAGGGTGTATAAGAGGAGAAAAGAAAGAATGGGTAATGAGCTGACTGAGAGAGAAGGTAATAAGGAGAGTTAGTTATGACGATCCTTATAGGGGCAGAGGGGGTAAGGAGAGGGCATCGGAGAATATTTTATGGTTAGATATAGATAGAGAGCAGTAGCTCTCTATAGGAGCCACGCTCTGAGCAGCAGCGGTTGTATTCTCCTACTGATATTTCAGTCCATTCAATAATATACACAGTTTTTCATCATATTTCTTCATTATTCATCTTAATTGCTCTCTGTTAGGTTTAGTTTGTAACAAACAGTTCATAAATATTAAAGATGCAGCTCAAATATTGAAGAACATACCGAAGGAAGAAATTTTGTCATAGCTTCCATACCCCAATTCCAGAAAAATGGTGCTGTCCCAAATCGAGCACTTACTGTTGGCACTCCTAGAATCTCATGAGCACTTCTAACCTCTGGTAAATTCCTGAAAACCATGTATTGAAGTGGAATCCTAATTTCTGAAGAAAGCAAATATATTGGGGTAATTTAATCAATTTGTTAGACATTATGTCATGTATCATATATGACTGAAGCAGTACCATGATCCCAATGGAGAAGCTTGTTAAAGAAGCAGAAAATGACCTTCACAGAATGTTTATTATCACAGATAATATAAATCAGATTCAGCGAATAATTACTATTTTTATTTTGTTTTCAAGGGATATTCTGACTTCCAATGATTCAGGGAAGAATTACTATCTTTATTTTGTTTTCCAATGCTTTCTATATAATCAAACTTACAATAGATAAACATCTCTTTTGCCAATTCCTTTTCCAAAGTCAACGTTGAGCATTCCACTATATGGCTTCAGATTGATCTTTTCTCCTAGTTGAACATTCCAGCATCATCATTTAATCCTACAAACAAAATGATAATTTAATCTAGATAAAACAAATAACTTGTACAAACTCTCTAGAAAACAACCTTTGTTATATGCAACTACTTCCTCTCCCAACAGCAAGAAGCTTGTAGCTAATATAGTTGGGCCAGCACCACCAGTTCCAGCTGTGTAGTAGAAGAATCTGAGTTGATCATAGCAGCTTATAAGTTGCTGAAAATCGACATGAAGCTAAAAAATAAACAAAGAAGAATAGGTATTTCTGCTCCTGGTTAAACTTATTCCTCTTGTTATTTTTTGAACTTGATTTTCTTTCATTTTCTGCTACACTTATTTTGTCTTAGTGGATAGTTAGGCAAAAAACTACATTAGACTAATTAAAGAATTTATACCCTACATACCGTAACGTAAATAATTTAATAACACACAAGTACTTTAAGGGTGTGTTTGATGCGCACTATGTTTGATTCACAAGTAATGTTAGAGTGGCTGCAAAGTTTGTGTTTTTCTGTCACGTTTAATTCAGTGTGAGCCAAGTCCTAGTTTTTAGGGAAGCGGGTTGCAGTTATTTATGCTTAAGTTGTGGTTTTTTTGTCAGATGCTGTTTTTAGGGATTAGTGCAATCAAACTGTTTTTAGCTGTTCAGCAAGTTACAGAAATTTAAGTGTGTGGTTTTCTGCAGTCCAAAAAGAATTTTCTTCTCTCCCACTTTTCTGTCTCTCTCTCTCTTTTTCTCTGCAGAGTTCTGTCTCTCTGTTTTTTGCAAAGTTGTTAAATCATAAACTCAACATTGGTATCAAGAGCCATCATTCTGAAGGGGCCTATGAGTGAAACTGAGAAATTCCTAAGTGATACACGTGAGAAATTGAGTAAAATGGAAGAAGGGTCAAGCAGTCTCTCTGCTCTAGCTCCACCTGTGTTTAATGGTGAAAATTATCAGGCTTGGGCAGTGAGAATGCAGGCATATATAGAGGGGTGTGACTATTGGGAAGCAGTTGAAAATGACTACCAAGTAGCTTCATTTCAAGATTATATCCAACCATCAATCAAATTAAGATTCATAAGGAGAGAGTCACCAAGGCGGCAAAGGCTCGAACTTGCCTATATGCTGCAGTTTCATCAATCATCTTTACCAAAATCATGACTCTTGCTTCAGCTAAGGAGATTTGGGATTATCTCAAGGCTGAATATCAAGGAGATGAGGATCAAGAGCATGAAAATGTTGAATTTGATCAGGGAATTCGAAAGGTTACAGATAAAGTCTAAGTCAATTAAAGAATACCCAAACAAGTTGATTGGAATTGCCAACAAGGCAAGGGTTCTTGTCACTAAACCCTTTGATGGAAGGATTATGCAAAAGATTCTTGTTTCTATGTCAGAAAAGTATGAAGCAACTATTATTTCACTAGAGAACACCAAGGATCTAACACAGTTCAAAGTAATTGAGCTCATTAGTGCATTGTAGGCTCAGGAGCAGAGGAGGCTGACGAGGCAAGAAGGAAGCACAAAAAGGGCTTTGAAGGCTCGAGTGCAACACAATGAAGGAGGAAGAGACAAGAAATGGAAAGGAAAGAAGGGTGGTGGCAGTAGTGGTTCAGAAGCTGCTGCAAGCATTGTTGTTAAAATCGCGATTAAAATCGCAGGATCGTACGATTTTACAATCTTATACCCCTTGGACAATCTTAATCGGACTTGGGAGCGCTTACATGGAAGATCGGATGAGATCCCGATTTTTTCCGTCAGGATCGCAGGATCTCCGATCCGATTCGATCACAAGGGCAGGTTTTTTGGGTCAGTTCTGGGTTGGGTTTTTTGGGTTGGGCTTCTGGGAGGGTTGGGTTTCTGGGTCAGGTTTTTCTGACCCGGTTTTAAAAAACCTATTTAGGTTATTTTTTCCCGAATTCTTTTCCCACTCTCTCTTTCACGACGCCCATTCTCTCCTCTCTTCTGCGCCACCGATGCTCTCTTCCTCGACACCCATTCTCTCTTCCGTGACACCCATCCTTCCATTCTCTATGTGGGTGGTTTGCGTTTTATTTTTTGGTGTTTCTTGAGCTGCTCTTTGCCTGTTTCAATTGGTGGTTCACGTTTTCTAGGTGTTTTCTATTCTCTAGATATATTGTGAGCTACTGTACACCTTTCAATATAAACCTGTGAATGAGGTTAATTTAAATAAACATTTTAATAGTGTTACTACCTAAAAATAATTTTATTAAAATTAATTTTCAATTTTATTAATAATATATTATATATTAAAATAAAATAGTGTAATAAGACATTAATTTATATGTAAAATGGTATAAAATTATTTTTTCTAATTTTTTTTAAAAATTAATGAATATCATATTTTATAAAAAATCTATTAAACATTATAAGCATCTAAGTTTCACGTATTTAACTATAAATCTAAATACTGTTAACTAGAGCTAATACTTTAATATTATTTATTGTAAAGTATTATAAGTTGGATAACTTGTTGATCTTTTTAATTTTTAAAAAAATATTCTTCTATTTATTTTCTATTATGTGTTTTCTTACCTTGGCATGGATAGTTTAACTAATTATGTATTATATTGAATCTTAAATATAGGATTTTTAAGTTTATATTTAACTAAATTAGGTAATTTAGACTTTACTTTTTATCTATGTAACTTTCTCAGTTTATATATATGTTTTAAGTATAATTTTATACTTTTTGAAGGATCTTACGATCTATTTTACGATTTCACGAGTTATGATTTTTTACCCCTCTTCTGATCCTAGATAAGATCCCGATCTTGACAACATTGGCTGCAAAGGTTGCAGGAGTAGATTTCAACAAGAACTCTCCAAGCAAACATTGTAACATTGTGGGAAGCAGAATCAATCACACTTCAAATGTTAGAGAAGGTCAGATGTTAGAAAGTGCCATTTAATAGGGCACATTGAGAGCTTCTGTAAGGAAACAAAAACACAACAACAAGGAGGAGCTCATGCTGCAATTCAGCAAGAAGATCAGTTGTTTATGGCCACTTGTTCTCATCAGTCACTCAATGTGACAATTGGTTGATTGATAGTAGGTATACCAATTATATGATAGGTGATGAGGAGCTATTCAAAGACCTTGACAAGTCATTCAAGTCAAGGGAGAAGATAGGCAATGGAGAGTATCTAGAAGTGAAGGAGAAGGGCACAATGTCAATAGAGAGCCGTGTAAGAACTAAGATTGATCATAATTTGTTAAGGGTTGATCAACTAGTAGAAAAGGGATCCAAAGTGTTATTTGAGGAAAGGAAGTGTCTCATTTCTAACTACAGTGGGAATGAGTTGTTCAAGATCAAAATACAGTACAGGAGTTTCTCATTGGATCTACTCGAGAAGAAACATATAGCTTTCAAGTGTCAAGTGAATGACATTGAGCTATGCATAAGAAGTTGCAGCACTTTCATCAAAAGGAGTTGTAGTATTTGTAGAAGACTAAAATGGCAATAGGATTACCAATTTTGGAGGAGCAAAAAGCAAAATGCAAGGCTTGTTTGACAAGGAAGCAAACAAGGGAGTCATTCAAGAAGTCAACCTCAAGAGAAAATAAGAAGTTGCACCTTATTCACATTGACTTGTGTGGACCTCAACCATATGTCTCACTGAATGGTACCACATACTTCACCATTTTCATTGATGATTATACTAGAATGTATTGTATTTATTTCATGAAGTTGAAGTCTGAGGTTGCTGAGATATTTCCAAAGTTTAAAAGCTTGATTGAAAATCAAAGTGGCTGCAAAATTCAAATGATTTAAACAATGGAACAAAATACACATCACAAAAGTTCAAAAACTTCTTTGTGAGGAGGTAGGGATCGAGCATCAGCTCATTGTTCCATACACACCACAATAAAATGGAGTAAGTAAAAGGAAGAACAAGAGCATTATGGAATTAACAAGATGCATGCTGCATCAGAAAAACTTGTCAAAGGAGTTCCAGAATGAAGCAACAAACACAATAGTCTTTCTATTGAATAGACTACTTATAAGGGTATTGGAGAAGAAGACGCCCTATGAATTTGATTCAACACTAAATCAAATCTATAGAATTTGAAGGTGTTTGGATGCTTGTATTTTTCTCATGTTCCACATGTGAAGAGAAACAAGTTGAGTGAGAAGGCAAAACCATGAATCTTTGTGGGCTGCAGCATGGTGTCTAAAGCCTACAGGATCTATCAACTTCACACAAAGAAGGTTGTGATAAGTGTGATTTTCAGTTTATTGAAGATGAGAAGTGGGACTAGGCAAAAGAAGCAAAAAGGAAGCAACAAGAGTCCTCTCTGGATTTTAATGAACTGGTTGTAATGAACGAGTTAGAGAAACTTACTGATGTGTATGAAAGATGTAATGTAGCTGTTATGGAGCCTGTAGAGTATGAAGAAGCCAAGGAAACCATGAATGGATAGAGCCAATGAGAGAGGAGTTGGACATGATAGAGAAAAATAAGATATAGGAGTTAGTGGAGAGGCCAATAAATAAAAAGGTGATTGGTGTAAAATGGGTTTTCAAAATCAAACTGAATCTTAATGGTACAGTGAACAAGTAGAAGGCTAGGTTGGTAGTGAAGGGTTATGTGAGTTGACTTTTCTAAAACCTTTGCACCAATAGCAAGGATGGACACAACTAGAAAGTTGCTTCCTGTGTTAGCTAGTGCATCAGCTAGATGTGAAGTCAACATTTTGAATGGAGTGTTGAAAGAGAAGATTTATGTGGAGTAACCAGAAGGCTTCATCTTATAGGACAAAAGAAGAAAGTTTATCTACTCAAAAAAGCTCTATGGTTTGAAGCAAGCTCCCAGGGCTTGATATAAGTTATAACAAGATAATTGACTATCTATTGAATCTGAACTTTGTCAAAAGCTTGAGTTAGTTCCCTCTATATGTGAAGGATTCAGGAGATGGTTTGGTGATTGTGTCTCTCGATGTAGATGATTTGCTTGTGACAGGTAGTGATGCAGCACAAATTGAAATGCTTAAGCAAGATATGAGAGGAGTATTTGAGATGAAAAATCTCAGCTTGATCCTTCACTTTCTAGGTATGGATTGAATGAGGTACTTCTTTGTCAAAAAAGTATATAAAAGATATTTTGAAATTTGAAGAAATTCAAGATGGAGGACGGTAGGGTTGTAAGTACTCCAATGAACAAGAAGGAAAAGTTGCAAAAGATTGATGGAAAAGAATTTGCAGATGAGAAGGAGTTCAAAAGTCTTATTGGATGCCTCATGTATCTCACTTCCACTGGTTTTCTGCAGTCCTAAAAGAATTTTCTTCTCTCCCACTTTTCTGTCTCTCTTTTTTTTTTTTTTTTCTGCAAAGTTTTGTCTCTGTTTTTTCGTTTTCTGCAGAGTTGATAAAACATAAAGTCAACAAGTATCATAGGCACAATATACCAAGGAATTCAACAAATGATGATATATCCAAACGATGAGATAAGAAAATGACATATCAACCAAAATACATTTACATTTCAAAATAAGAAATCATAAACTTCAGAATTATAGAGAAGAACTGTCACCTTAGCCTCTCTGGCTTATCTATACCTTCATTTTCTGCAGCACGAACTAGCTCTGCTGCCATAACTGTGACAAATTTGTAGGAAATGTTAGCAATCAGAATACAGCATATGCAAAAAGATATCATGATCCGCCCTAACTTCATAGTTATCTAGATTCTACAATTAATATTACTACCAATTAGCAGACACCGGTCTTACATATACAGCAACATATTATAAAACCCTTGAAATTTGAATGACCAAAATCCTAAAATAAGCTGACCAACTGTTTGCAGCCATTACACCAACGGTGCAGTTCAACTTTCTTTAGATGTTATTTGCATTAGGGCAGGAAAGATCAGAAGCTGTATGTATCAACATATATTTCTTTATTGCTAGTCAAGAATGCCATGGAAAGGTGTCCAGTAGTTTTGGATCAAACCACACAAACTAAACAGCATCAGTCAAACAAATTTATGAATACATGTTTTATCTCACACCATTGAATATGAATAAAAGTAGAATAAATGGATATGCAAACCCAAAAACTATAATCCACAGCTAATATCATTTTTCATACTCATCTGAACAAACTGTACTATTTTCAATCAAGTGTTAGCCAGGTCAGTTTAATATAAATTGGCAATCAAATGATTCTGGCACTGATTTGGAAACATAAGATAAGAACAATGCAGATAAGTAAGCACCATTGCTAACTCCAGGGTAAATTCCTCCGGTTGTTATAGCTGGAACACTTGCAGCTAACGCCCTACTCATCAAGGATTTCGCACGCCATGCATAGCTTGTATCATCACAAACATCAACATACGCAGTCTGCAGCAAAAAGCATGCAACCACTATATGTATAAGGGAAGATGAATGTATAGACGTTAGCAAGCAGAGATTTTAACAGAAATGACCAAGTAGGATTCCGAAACGAAAAATCGTTGATTGAAGCCATAGGCTACCTTAGTATTTATAGCAGCTTCAAGCACATTGCAGCTTTCTGCTCGTTGGAAAGGTCCTGCGGCATGAACTACAAGATCCACATCTGCAGAGATTTGCATTAACAACACTCATATTCGATTTCGATTTATAAGCACAAGACAAAGAATACTGATCGGAAGTGCAATTTCACCTTTCAACGCCGTTTCCAGCGAATTGACGTCGTCGATATCAACACGAGTAAAACCTGAATTGCTGCCAAGTTTTGCAGCCAGAGCTTCACCTTTCTCTCTGCGACGACACACACACGTGGACCAATTAGAATCACTCACAATTTTGGACTCACGCAAGATGCACGCACACGCGCTGTCACTTACCTGTTTCTGCCGGCGACGAGGATTTGAAGGTCTGGACAGAGGTTGGAGAGGGCAACGGCGGTGGATCCTCCTATCCGACCCGTTCCGCCGAGGACCAACACTCTTGAGTTGCAGATTTTCTCCGGCAGTGGCATTTCAGGGACCTTGTTGGTTGAAGTGGCGGTGGCTGTGGCTCTCAAATTCAATGGCATCCATTTCAAATTCAGAGGCAATGAAAGTGGCGCCATTCAATTTGCTTCTTCTCTTCACTCTTTTCTCTTTCTATACTCTGCTACTTATATATCTGTCTCTGCGTTACTTATATATCTGTTATCACTACCCGCTTTATCCTTACCGTTGTTGTTCTGTCGCCAGCTCAATACTTGGCAAAATCCACGCCACACATTGACTCGCACGTCACCATTTAAATTTTTTAATTTAATAGTAGTAGACTATACAAAGAATAAACTAGTGAACGAAATGAAGACCAACCATAACAGGCGGAATTTAACATTTTAATTATTGAACATAACCGAATTAACATTGTTAACTTGGATTCAATTTTATTAATTTAATCCACATTTTAATATTTCCCATCCTAGACTACTAAAAGTTGAAAATGTTATTTCATAATTTGACGTCACAAATTTATTTATTTTATACTCAGTAATTGACATGTATTTGTTCCCAAGTTATTTTTAAAATTATTAGAAAATATTAAAAACATAAAAAAAAAACTATTAAAAATATTATAATAAAAAATTTAATTAATTTGAATTTTTATGAATATTTTTTTATTATATTTTAATTATTTCTTTTCATGTTTTTCTTTATGGAGAATGTATTTTTTATAATTTTATTTTCTCTTATTTCAACTCATTTAAACATTAAATATTTTTTATTCTATTTTTTAATCTTTCTTTTTTTAGTTTAAACCACAATATTTTTTATTGAAAGCAATTTTTTTTTATTTCATCTCTCATCCAAACAAGGTCTTAAATGAAATAAATAATATAAAAAATACTATTATCAATATAATGAAAAAAAATAAAAATTTCAATTTTCTCGGACTCTTAGTGGAGTTCCTTTGTTACTTAATTTGTAATTTATTTATTTTTCTTATAAAAATTTATTTTTTATTAAAGAGTTTATCATCAATCAAACAAGTTATAAATTTTATTAATTTTTAATTAATTAATTAGTTTAAATTATTAATTTCATTGGATATAGAATGTTTAAATATATATCATAATATAAGAAAATATATCTTCTGTATAAGAAAAAATTTATTTATTTTAAAAAATGAGAGTGTGTTCATAATCATCACTTGGATATTTAGATATAGATTTTTTTTACCTGTGTAATGTTATATAGAATCATAAGTTATATATAATAATTTTTTATTATAATTTATATAATATTTAATAATATCAATATATTTAATTATATTTTTATTAAATATATTAAATTATATTAATTTTTAATAAAAAAATATTATATCTAATTTATTATATTGTGCAATATTGTTCGGCTAAAAAATGATTTTCGATATTTATAGACACAGACATGCAACAGAGTTTTAGGTAAGCAGATAGATAGTAGAAAAGACCTGAGAGTAGCGAAACATTATTCTTTTTTCTTACCAGCACTATATTTAACTTAGATTCAATTTTATTAATTTAATCCACATTTTAATATTTCCCATCATAGACTACTAAAAGTCGAAAATGTTTATTTCATAATTTGACATCACAAATTTATTTATTTTATATTCAGTAATTGACATGTATTTGTTCCCAAGTTTCAACCTAATCCCCTCAAAAACATCCAGGGTCAAGGCAATTTTATGACTCAAAGGTTATGATGTAAAGAACAAGGTATAGAATGATAATAGCACCGATGTAATTGTTGTTTTACAATGAAAGCAGAATATTACAAGCCATTCAACCCCCCGGTCCACAAGACCGCAAAGCTATGTTATCAGTGTGTGAATTTTTTTGAACTTACAACACCTGTCTAGAATATCTATCAAAGATGCTAACAAAAACAGTGTATGTATAAACAAAATTCAATTTAAAAAGGAACAAAAATAAAACAAAATAATAATAACATTAACTCCCAAGCAGAGTCTCTATGGCTTCGAACAAAAATGCAGACATTTCTGGGCTAGGTGTCTTGATTGCACTTTTGACACCAGGGATTCCAACCACAGTGGTAAGTTCAATCAATATTGGTATTCCTCGAGGGATTTTAGCTGATAAGTAAAACACATCCTGGTTTGCATTCTTGCGCTTTGCAATAAAGAACACGTTTGATGCAGCCAATCGGTCCAATGTTGCTTCTACGTTTCCAATAACAATCGCTTCGAAGTCCTGGGAAACCTCATTTGAATCAGGAAGAGACCTCCATGTCTGCAACACAGTAAATGATCAGGTCCCAATTTCTGTACTCAGGTTTTAATCACGAAAGTGGCAAAGTTTTATTTTAAGTTTTATCAATTCCTTGGCCTTGTTTGTAACATGTATAAAAATAATCCCATTAAAGAAAAAACTAGAAATTTTACAAATCAAAAGTACCTGCTGCAGATGAAAAGGATCATACGAATGAAAAGGTTACCTCTAGGAAAGCGGAACGTTCCATTCTACCATCCTCAGTAAAAAGTACATGGAATGTTATTTTATCGTTAAAATACCACACAGGTTGTTGGTTGTTTCTTACAGCAACCTGCAAAAGTGAGCTAGGAGGACCTTGGGACATATTTTGGAACATAAGCATTGGAAGGAGTGTCCTAGCTGATGTTCCAGGTTGCAATTGTGGAAGCTGAAAGGCAACAAGTTGTGTCTATTAAAGCTCATATTTATATAAATCTCAAAGTAAAACCATATATGCGATAATAACCTGAAGGGGTCCAGCAGCCACAAGACCAAACGTGTTCTTGTTAAATTGAATCATGAAGCCATCAAGTGGAACTTGAGAGTTGTTCTCAAACAACATACTGTAAAACATTTCACCATCTCGCCTGGTTAGCTGTGCACTGATTTGTAAACCTTGACCAGTTGAAGCAGGAAGTAAAATAGGCAATGGTGGCCTGAAAGGCAGGGCAGATGGTCTAATTAAGCATGATCTCATAAAAAGAAAAGTAACGAAAGCTTCACAAACTGGTCAACCATTACATATGTTGATAGTTATTCCCAAACTCTTGTAAACATGTTTTAATATTAATAATAAATTGCAACCACACATATTATCATCATTTACTATTTCTATACAAAAAAATAATAATCTTTTAATAATGCAATAAATTGTACACAACACTCTAAAAGGCATAGCAGATTATGGTGGGCAAATTCTATTAAGTAAACCACAATTTACTTCCTAGTTCCACTCACCCAGTAGGAGTAGCTGGCTGATCAAGAGGAACAATAGAACTATTATCCATGCCTATTGAATCACCAAGTAAATCTGGGACAGGTGCAGCAAATGGAGGAGAAGCTGGTGCAACAGATGCAGGTGCTGAAATGCTGGCACTAGGTGGTGATGCAGGACCATTAGCGGGATTTGCTGGTGACTCAAAATGCCCTGTTTCACTTCCCTCGGCAGAGTCATCATCTTCAATTTTTGGGGCAGATGAGTGTACACGAGTTACAAATACATCCGGGGGCTTGTGATAAACAGAAGATAATGTAGCAATGTTGACAAGAAGCTCGTCAAGTAGAGAAGAATCAAGCTGGTTTGAATCATCAGTTATCACAGGCTTCTCAGCTAACACAACATCCTTAGCTGCCTGAGGAAGACAAACTAGGTGCATCACAATGTAGAGCTTAAAATTGGTGTCCGAAGAAGAAATTAAAATAATAATAATAATAATAATCAGAGAATTTAACCTATTATTTGCATGGGGATAGACACTAAACACTAACTAAAGTTATTAGCTAATAAATTCAGTTTGACTATCAGTCATCAGTCAGGTATGCACATCAACTAATTGTCTAATTTGCCACATGTTGGAAAGATAACAAACAAAAGAGAGTGGATTCTAATTCAAGAAATCAAACCTCAGGGTCAGTTGAAAGGAGACGCCAATATATGTATGCACGATCTCGCAAATCAGGATTATCTGTCTCCACAGTGGCATTGTTCAAAACAACCTGTGAAGATTAGTTATAAAGTGAAACTTAGTATAGCAGCATCTGAAGCATGTGCAGGAAACAACTGCTGACATTTTTATGAAACAATACAAAGGAGACTCTAAAAAACAATTTAGATGACTAAAGATAATCCCAATTATCTTGGGAATTATTTTGGATATTATCTCAAAGATGTAGTTTTAAATAATTCCAAGATACTCTTTTTTCCTTTAAAAAAAATGTATTGCAGACCAAAAGTGACAATGGTTGTAGAAAAACAATATAAAGTTTCATAAACAAGGAGTGAATGCAATTATGTAACATATAAAACAATTGATATTCAAATGAGAATTTTCTTATATTCACCATTGTACTGGATAAGGCACCTCGGTCATCACCATAGAAAAAGGAAGTCATCCCAATTATCTTGGGAATTATTTTGGATATTATCTCAAAGATGTAGTTTAAAATAATTCCAGGATACTCTTTTTTCCTTTAAAAAAAAATGCATTGCAGACCAAAAGTGACAATGGTTGTAGAAAAACAATATAAAGTTACATAAACAAGAAGTGAATGCAATTATGTAACATATAAAACAATTGATATTCAAATGAGAATTTTCTTATATTCACCATTGTACTGGATAAGGCACCTCGGTCATCACCATAGAAAAAGGAAACCAAATACTCATTCGGCTTGACACTAGGTCGAAAGGTATCCACACCCTTTCAGCCTAACCTTAGAACGACACCTCTCTCATCATGTCAAAATATGGTAATTAAAGATTAATAATCGATAACCAATAAGAAAAAGGCTAATCACCTAAAATAATCAAAAGGCTAAGACAAGACTGAGTGATGAAGCCCAATATCTTGTCTATAAAAGAAAAGTAGGAAATCCAAGTAAAGAGGTGACTTTTGAATATTAAATAGCATTTATTGTCTTATACCGAACACCGACTTCACCATCAGAATACCTTTGTAGGTACCCTCCCCCATGTCACTATAAAGGAGAATTTGGAATATTCTACAAGGGCGTAATACCATAGGACTAGAAGAGCGATTATAGAAGACAAGTGTATCCTTAGTAGGAACCACCATGTCAAGAAAGAGGGAAGGAAAAGATCAATTTGCATCTTAGTAAAAGGATTATACAAACTTGATATTG